AAATAGCCATCATGAAGAGCAGCATTTCTAAGTATGTATCACCGCATACATTTAGGCTGGCAGCATGCCTCTTTATGATCTTCTCCTGCTATTGGTGGCTGGAGATAGTTTTAGATCTTTTACAAGATGGTAAAACTTCAGGCTCATATTTTTAATTTTAATTTTTAATTTCTAATATATATATGTAAAGCATAGAATTTGGGAATATTTAAGTAAAATTTGAGTGTCATTTTAAAATATTCTAAATAATTATGAAGATTTACTGTTGCCACACCATTGCTTTCATGGTGCATCAGTTGTAACTAATTTGGAATTCTGCATGGAAAACCAAACTGCTGCTTACCATACATAGGCAGGCAAATGTAATCTGCTTTACCAAAGTGCTTTATAGTGTGAAAAAGGATGGAAGTGGGACAGGCCTTTATGGTAAGACCCACCTGAGCCACCCAGTAGCCAGGAAAGCCCCAAACGGTGCTGATATAGGACACAGGGTGCGGCAAAGCAGTCTGGGACCTGCCCATTACAAGATCCCGGGCAACACCAGGACCCCGTGTGTAGAACTCACAAGCTCCCGTGAGATGTGGACGGCACAAAAGACGGGACAGCATGGGAGGATCCATATGGTAAATTCCCACACAGCCCACACTGCACTTCCCAGATGCAGAATATACTTTTATTTTTATTTTTACCTTCTTTTTCTCTTGTTCTGCCCAAGTTCACGCTGCAGAGCTGGTTTCCCCCATATTCAATCACCCCTCACTTTTCAAATAAACTTTTTGGCTGTCTCATCTAATTCTCTGTTCAAGACAAGAAGAACCTGGAATACTTGGGACTGGCGAGCCTTTTCTAAGGGAACTACCAGACAGCAGTGTCACAGCTAGAAAACAGCTGAAATCAAGGGCCAGAACTCAAGGGAAAGTTGTCAGTGTGTGTACTCCAAGGGTCTGCTCACACTGAGACAGCTGGGAGTCCAACTATCTAATCCACCTATCTCACCTACAGCAGGAGAAACTGAGTCCAAAGGTGTGAGGCTTATCAGGAATAAATTTACCTGGGCCCTAGAGATTAGAGGTAACAAACCAATTGCAGAGCCAGGATGATTATGTAGCTGAGTTTTTGTTGTTGTTATTTTGTTTTTGAGACAGGCTCTTGCTATGCAGGCCAGGCTGGCCTCAAACTCGTGGTGGTCCTCCAGCCTCATCCTCCCAAGAGCTGTGATTATGAGCTTGGGCCACCACGCCAAGCAGTGGCTGTTCTACTTAAGGCAGTGAAAGGGGAATGTGATGAAAGAAAACAATAGAAAAACTAGAGTTTATTATAAAATATTATTAGATGTTAAGACTAAAGCATTAATCTCAATTATTATGAGACATCTCAATAAATGCTTCAAAAAAGAAAATATGTAATTTATCTTGCACTGGTTTCCATCAAAAATGCTTAAAACAAACCTAGAGAGCTCCTTCAATGGAGTCAGTCCAGGTCTCTCTTCCACTGGAAAAGTTCTGTGCCCAAAAATGCTAGATAAATGTCATACATCCACATGCTTATTTTTTCAAGGATAGATGAAGTTTATTTTTGAGATGTGTACACTTTTCATAGACAATAAGTCAATATAAGGGTTTTCTTTCATTTTGTTTTCTTTTTTCGTGCTTTTTGGCAGTACCAAGAATCAAATCCAGGACCTCATGCATGTAAGCAAGTGCTTTATCACTGAACTACACCCCCAGAACTAATACTCAGCTTTTTGAGGGCTTAAATGACTTGTACACAGATGACAACTTATCTAAATGACTGACTGCAAATAAACTCTTCAGAGAGCACAAAGTACATGGGCATCACTAATCACCACTACCAAGGCTGCGTGTGTATCAACAGCACCTTATCAACCCTGATGATGTTATAAAAGTCCAAAGATGGGCCGATGATGGATAAGAATTTATTACTCCAGCCTGAAGAACGCTAGCTTTACTGGCGCCCATCCCAGGATCAAGAGAGTCATTCCTTCCCTCCCTTCCTTTACAGTTCACCTTTAGCTCTTAACAACACAACAAGGAAGAGATGGTTCTGTGATAAGGCAGGGTGCTGCTTTTTTTTTGGAGCTGGGGAGTGAACACTGAGCCTTGGGTGCATTCTGAACAGATGTTCTCCCACTGAGCTACACACCCAACTCATGCCATTTATTCTTTAGCATGCTCCTGGGGCTGCCACTCCTTGGACATGGCTTCCCTCCTCACCTCTGCAATTAACAGGATTCCTGAAGACTCTTCCTAGGTGATGTCACCCCTGGGTCTGGCACCGCTGGGTGAGCAGGCCTCGCCATTCCCATGTGCCTGCTGCTCGAGACCGGGTGGATTCCACTCTGCACCACCGACCTCCTCACAGGGGACTCGATGCACACCTCCGCTTTACATTTTGTGCTATCATTCAAATTATGATTCCTCTGCCAATTTCCTTTCTTCAGTCACTTCAAGCATGATTTAGAGGAAAGAATAGGAGGTTTGGAGACAGATCTAGGTGGAATCCCAGCTCCAGCACCCAAACTAAGCTCTATGCCTAGAAGCAAGTTATTTTGCCTTCCTGAGCCTTAGTTCTCTCACAAGTCGGAGACGGCTGTGCAGAGGTAGTGAGACGATACACATAAATTACCTGGCACACAGTAGGTATTCCACACGCTCCTTTCCTTTCCCTGCTTATAACTGCTGGCGGTAGCTTCTTTCTCTCCCATCTCCCCTCACGGGCTCCTCCCCATATGCTTCCAAGTTGGCAAGAGGTTCTACACCTGGATCATGAAGAGGGCCCTAAAACCTATATTAGGAAATGTGATTGTAGAGCTCTGCCCAACTGTGGTTCTTGAAATAGAAATAACATGACTTGAAAAAACAGTTAAAGGGGGCTGTGTTAAAGACTCAGGGAGCAAAGAAGAGGCCTGAGACTTCCCCATCTTTCTGTTCTCCTTCCCCACTAAAAAGTGTCACCAGATTTTAGTTATGTTTTAAATCAGATAAGCAAATACTTTCCTAATGTGTGCCAGTACTGTAGTAAGGAAAAACGCTTCTCTAGCAAAGAAAAGCAATAAAGGAAAATGTAGATCATGACACACAGAGATATTGGTGACTGTGCTTTCCACCTGGTGGCTCCAAAGAAAGCTTAAAGTTCCCCAGCCAGAAGGGGAACTCCCAGTGGCCTTCTAATTCCATCGAGGCACAGAGTCCTAGAAGGAACCAGGAGGCCACAAATACATGACTGTGGTCTTTCAATGCCACTAAAGCTGGACAGTTACTGGAGAGGTATGTGAGTTTTGAAGACCACAGTTGCCCAGTCTGTACAAAATCCACCCCCATGTTCTTGACAAGTATGTTTTATGGTATTTTATTAGTTTTTAAACATGAATTTGTTTAATGAGCACACAGTTCATATTTTAGCTCATATTTTACATTTTTTTAAATATTGCAAAAGAGAAGGTAAGCCATCTATACTTAAATACAAGTGACTTTTCTCAATTCACTTGGATTGGAAGCTTCTATCCTATTTTTTTTTTTCCTCATTGAGTATATTGTTACATTTTAGGTATACATCACAGTTACATTCATTATTGGGATCTTGTACCTCTACATGACACGTCTTGGTTCTCATTTTTTCCCCTTGTCCCTGCCCTCCCTTTGGAACCTTCTATCTTAAAAGGAAAAAAAGAGTGATAAAATTATACACGAAAATTCACACATGGTACTGTATAAAGTAAAATACCATCTCAATTAGATTATTGCAATTACTTTTCGGCGGGGCTCCTGGCTTCTGTCCATGCAGTTTCTTCTCAAACTCATTTTTTCCTTGTCCCTGCCCTCCCTTTGGAACCTTCTATCTTAAAAGGAAAAAAAGAGTGATAAAATTATACACGAAAATTCACACATGGTACTGTATAAAGTAAAATACCATCTCAATTAGATTATTGCAATTACTTTTCGGCGGGGCTCCTGGCTTCTGTCCATGCAGTTTCTTCTCAACCCAGTGCCCAGAATAATCCTTCCAAAATGTCACTTTCCTGCTCAGAATCCCCTTGGGGCTTCTCACTTCCATAAGAGTGAAAGTCTCCAGTGGTCTTTGAAGTCCTGTGGGACTTGTTTCCTTGCTGCCTCCCCATCCTTCACTGGGTTAGTGGCTCTAGCCACCCTGGCCACCATGCCCAACATGCTTGCCCAATCCCCCAAATTCATTCCCACCTCCTTTTGGGCTCTCAGGCCAACCTCTCAGAATGCCTTCTCTGGCCATGCTATGTAAAATCATAGCCCCTCTCCTAGCACTTCCTACCCTCTCCATATTTTCCTCCATGCCACCGATCCCATCAACCTACAGCATATATTATTTACTTACATATTTTGTGTCTTTCCCCACTAGAAGGTGGGGCAGAAGTTATGGCATTGCGCTCCCTGCAATACCCTCGGCACATAGAACAGCACATGATGCACAGTAAGTACTCAATAAAACTACTTATCGAATGTTCAATAAACATAAGGCAAAAAAAAATGATGAGCTATACTGAAATAAAACATATTTACTGAAAGACAAATGAATCAGTGTAGGGTTCTCTTCAAGATGTCAAAGTTGAAAAATAACTCTTCCTCTGAAGTCCCTCACTTGTTCTATTCCTTGTCAGGAAGTATGAATAGTTAGAGAGGGGTTTTGACTTTCTTGCTTCTGATATTAGCATTCAAAAATGCAGGACAGTCTTTCCAAGGTTGACATTTTATAATTCATAGGACTGAAGGCAGCAGGAATTTTCCTGAAATAACATCCTTTCAAAGTGCTTCCCAGGTCTCCATCCTGAGGCTAAGAACGGTCAGGGAATTCTAGAATACCGAATGTGTTCAGCACAATTGGCATTCAATAAACATTTGTTGGTGGGCAAAGGTTGCATCTGCTACCCTTTTAACAAAGGTCCAAGTGAATGACCTTTAAATATGAGATGTGTCAAAACCCAAAATGCCACACAGAATTCGTATTACCTCTCCACGGAGTCTCTGATGAGCTGCTGCAAGTCCACCTCCTGCTTCCTCAGGGTCCCAAAGGAAGACTGGCTCTCCACCAGGCCTTTGCCTCCCATGTTCAGCTTGACCTTGCCCAGAACAGTCTCGATGGTCCCACTCACGTGGTTTTCAAACTTGCCCTCATACTTCACGAAGTCTGACTCCACGACCACTGGAATGAATACAGCACAGGAGCCTGAATACAATAAGGCCACCTCTGTGCCTTGGGTCACCCAGCTTCCCACTCCTACAGAGCCTTGGAAAACACACAGCCAGCAGCCAATTAAATTAAATTACAGCAATTAAATTAAAGCAAAAGAAAATGGAGCATGAAGCCCACCCTCGTGCTGACCAACGGCGTGCCCCAAAGTGCTAGGGCTCCCTCCAGGGCTTTTATGTATTGTCATTTTTCAGTTCCAATATGTACAGGAAAGTGCAAAAAGATTCCGTATAGTTTAGCACATCATTCCAAGTGAATATCTCTTTAGCCAGCACCCACTAAAGAAACACACCATTTTAAGTGTGTGCTTTGCTACGATGCAGGCTGAAAAGGAACCCCCTCCAGACGCGTCCACAAGGAATGCGCCTGGCCAGTCCAACTGGACCTTGCCTTGGACACTGTAGACCTTGTGCCTTCCCACCCACCAGTCTTGGGGAACAACTTCCCGACCCTCATCACCACCTCCAGTTTAATAGTCCCTTCCCATATTTACATTTTCCCATCTTCCTGGCCCTCAGTCACCATCCTGAAGCACATCAGCCCCAGACTCTCTCCCTTCCTCCTTCCCGGCTTCCCAGATGTTAAGGACTATGCCACGACCACCTGCTGTCCCAGCTTCAGCTGAGTCAACTGGGAACTGCCATGCTCCACATCTGGCCAAATCCAAGTGATAGCTGTCAGAATGCCTTCAAGATCTGCCCTTCGTATCTCGACTCTAAAGACGATTCTCAAGGCCTCACAAAAAACTGCAGCTTTCTCTTGTCTCCAGGTTTCTACTGTTCCTTCTCTTATTTTTCCGTCTGGTGCAGGGTACTGAGCCCAGAGCCTCACAATGCTAAGTGCGCACTTTAACTTTACTACTGAGCTACACCTCCAGATCACTTCTCTCATTTTTAACCCAACAAGGTACAACTATAAGAACACTCTCAACTATCACACTCAGTAAAGATATGTTAAGAGGCTGTAGGGAGCCATCCATGGCAGTGCATGCCTGTAGTCCCAGGACTTGGGAATGCTGAGGTGGGAGGATCGCTTGAGACCTGCCTGGGCAGACCACATTTCAAAAAAAAATCCTGCTAGAAAATTCACTATTGCCTTTTCCCTTTACCCTGACCCAAGGGTCACTTCAGCTCCTGGCTGCCCTTCTCAAGGAATTGAAAACCAGCAGAGTCTGAAACACTTCTTGCCATCTACATACTGCCCCAACAGCTGTATTTCTTTGATTCCAGTCAAGAAAGGCCATTCTTCATCCACCATTAATAAGCAATCTCTGTATCTTTGTAGTTTACATTCCCCTCATCCACTCACTACTACCAAGAATAGAAAGGCTGAGAAAAAAGCCTTTTCTAGTTAACGTCTTGTAGATTACAAGATCTACAAGAAATGCTTCGGGAAGTAGGATGGAAAGGACATTAAGAGCTTAAGATTATTTCCTTTCTTTAATATTACTAAATGGGAGACCTTGGGCAACATTCATCTCCCTGAACCTCAGACTTTCTTATGTAATTAGAGATCATTAATGACACCTACAAGTACAAAGCTTGGCATTAAACAAGTGCTTAATCCACTGGGCTTGGTCCATAGCAACATTGTTTTCTGATAAACAGGATCATCCTGGGTTCTACAAAGTTCTACTCAGACAAAAATTCTTCTTCAAAACAGTTCTGGTCTCGTTCAGACTCACTACCACTGTTAGGAACTCTGTCCCCAAAGTTAGTCAAACCTCATAGGGTCAATCCAGATTCTGTAAACTCTCAAATGCCACCCTTTATCTTCAGTGACTGCAACTGAATCTTCATGATATTTCAACGTACCACAATGTACCACACAAAGGAAGCATTTCAACATTACAAAGCAGACGAATTCTATTACTCAGGGGCTCCTGGTCTAGTTTTTTTCCCTTGCTTCTCCTTTTATTTATTTTACCATTTAATAGAAGTTCTGCCAGGATTACATAAATCTGGGGATGGGTTGATATAAAATTCATATTGCTTGGCCGTCCCAATGAGCTCACTGCAAAGACCACTAGCTTGTTCAGAAGAAAATTTGGAGATTAGAATGATGTCCTCCATCTCTTTCCCCTTTTAGTATGGAATCACAAAACTAGGAAACTTGAGAGCCAAAAGAGGACTCAGACATCATTTCATCAAATAAAGAAATGATGATACTTTCACAAATCACCATGTTCCAAAAAGGAAAATGGCAGTGACTACCAAGACTTCAAAAAGTTTCCCACCTCTGAGCCAGATATTCTATTTCTAAGAATCCATGCCAAAGCAATTGCTAAAAATATAACAAAACCAAAAACAAAACATAAGGCTGAGAATATAGTTTAATAGTAAAATGCTTACCTGGTAAGTGAAAGGCCCTGGATTCAAACCCCAGCACCAAAAATAAATAAATAAACAAATAAATAAAAATAAAACACACACACATGCAGCCTTATTAAAGAGTATATAAAAATTGATGGTAGTGTTTCTAATCCTGTTTTTTAAAAAAATAAGTTCAAAAGCTAAGCATAGTGGCAAATGCCTGTAATCCCAACACTGAGGAGGCTAAGGCAAGAGAACTGCTTAAACCCTGGGCAACACAGTGAGATCCGTGTGTCTAAAAAAATAACAATATTACATTTTTTAAAAAATTAAAGGGAAAATACAAGCATGGTGGTACATGATTATAATCCCAGCTTGGGAGGCTGAGGCAGGAAGATTGCCATGAGTTCAAAGTCAGCCTGGGCTACTTAGTGAGTTTAAGGCCACCCTGAACTGCATAGAAACACCTTGTCTCGATAAACAAACAAGTAAATAAGTGGCATAAAGACTATAATCCAAATATTAACAAAAATAAGTGATGGTAGATTTTTTTTTTATTGTTTTTCTCCTTCATCTCTTACAATATTTTACAGAAACACAGACAGGGTATCACTTAACAACAAGTTCTGAGAAATGTAGCATCAGGCAATTTCATCACTGTGCCAAAATCATAGAATGTACTTACACAAACTAAGACAGCTAAGATGCCACTAGGCAATATCATCTTAAGGGCCATCTTTGCGGCCCATCTTTGAAGTGTTATGCAGGCATGACTGTACTACACTGATGTGCCCAATCCACTTTACAGTCTGTCTGCTGGCAGCTGGCAAGCCCCCCACTTCCTCTTCTTTCCCCATTGCACATCTGGACAAACTGTTAAGAAAGCCTTGGGTGCTTCCCATACAGGTTCCAGTGAAAGAACACACAAACTCCAACCCAACCGGCAGGACTACTCCATCCATTAATCACAGTAACAGCTAAAGCTATCTCCTTATCCACCTTGCTGCAGCCATTTTACACAACAGCTTGGGAGCCTGCTTTATACTCTCCAGAAAGCATCGTTATATGAGCAATAACACTATTCACACTCTCTTCATTAGTATGTGGCAGCATCCATCTCAACAGGGAATCAAATTCTGACCAGGGCAACCATTCCACTTATGCTAGCTAAAATGGGCATGATTGACTTTTTCTCCCCTGGACTGGGGAATGAACCCAAGGAGTCCTGACCTACATCTTTAGCCTTTTTTATTTCTTTATTTTGAGACAAGAGTCTCCCTAAGTAACCTAGGCTTGCATCCAACTTTCCATCTTCCTGCCTCGGCCTCATGACTGGGGGCATCACAGATTAGTACCACCACACCTAGCATGGCTCATTTTTATACCAAAACTGAAAAACTACTTTCAAAAGATGACACTATAACTTTTCATGTGAAGCATGCAGAATTTTGTTCATTTGAAGAAAAGATATATTTTTGAGACAGTATGCAAGGAAAAAGAATTCATTATAATCTATTACCTTGATTAAAGACAACCCATGTCTAGAAGATCTATCTTCTGTTCTGGATCTAATTCTAGAATATACACAAGGAAACGTACCTGGACTCAGAAACTGGTCCTCTGTGAGTACATCTCCAAGGGTGACGGATAAAAACTGGTACTTGGGTCTCTGCCAGCACCAGTATCTCTTCTTTTTGGTTACCAGACTTAGAGGTTGCAACTTATCAGAATCATTCAAGTTTGATACTGAAATCAGGTTACCACCAGCATCAACTTCTTTAAGAAAATTCCTTGTTGCTTTGGCAAACATTTTGAGACTCCAGATTACCTGAAAAAATGAAATTATCCTAAAATCAAATATGAAGTTTTTCTTTTGTATCTTTATTTCTAAAGTTACCTTTTCTCTCTAATCTCAACAGTTCACATAAAAATATCTTCTCCCTAGGAAATCCTCTAATTTGACTTGAGCTGATGACAAAGAAATTAAATGACATAGTAAAAAAATATGTGTATCAGTCAGGATCATTGGCATATGCTTTAGAAACAAACAACAAAACACCCACATCTTGATGGTTTATGACATTAAAGATGCATTTGCTCCTAAAGTGTGAATGGGTGTGTGGGGGGACCAAGAGAGCTTTGTTCACTGTAATCATTCAGAAATTGAGACCAAAGAGAAAGCCACCATGCTGAACAATTCAGTCATTATTTAATAGGAAAGAAAATTCTGAAAGTTCTCACTCCAGCAATCAAATGTTCTGTCTAACACAGACTCATGGAATATTCACTTAGAACTCACCAGAACAAATCACATGTCTTTCACCAACTATGAGGGTCAAGAAATACAATCCTGCCAATCATCAGGAAGGCAGAAGGCAGAGAGCTAAGAACATTTGTTGCACAGCATACTGATTGTTAGATTCAACCAGCCACAGACTGAAAATGTTTGAAGAAGAATTTCCATTGTACTAAATATGTAGACTTGTTCTTCTTATTCCTACATGATGTAGTATAACACCTGTTTACATTTGCATTGCATTAGGTATTGTAAGTGATCTACAGGAAATCTCAAGTAGGCATCCTGGGAGGTGTGCACAGATTAGATACAAAACACTACATCATCTCAAATAAGAGACCTAAGCATCCACAGATGTGGGAATTTGTGAAGCAGGAAAAGGTGTCCTGGAACTAATCCTCTAGCAGATTCCTAGGGACAACTATAGTTCTCTGAAAGGTCAACAATGTCTTTTCTCTTCACTGTATGACTTTTCCTACTCCAAAAAGTAACGTGATTACTTTTTAACTCAGAAATAAAGGTACAGTCACACTTCAGCTGAAGGGAAGAGACATACCAAAAGGTTAAAAAGTACTACATTCAGTGGAGGAAATACAGACTATTTAATAAATGATGTTGGAAAGACAGGTTAACCATCTGGAAAAAAATTAAACTTGATTCCTCTCTCTTATCATACACAAGAGCAAAATTCTCAATGGATTAGAGGTTTCTTTGAGGAAAAATGAAACCATAAAAGCAGAAAACAATACAGAGAAATATGTGTACAACTGTAGGGTGAAAAAAGGCCTTTAGAAAGACAAATGGCAAACTGAGAAAATATTTCTAATATTATTTACAAAGAACAAGAATTTGTTAAAAAATCTTTTACAATAGAGCTTTAGAACACTCCAGCAGAAACATGAGTAAAGGTCATAATATAAACAATTCATAATATACAATCTGTACACAGCCAAAACATGTGTGTGTATACACCTGTATTGCCACATACATATAATAAAAATTATTACACAAAAGTACAAACTGAAATTGACTTTTTAAAAAAACTCTCCCTGGCCAGGTTAAAATGTCTAATGGACAAGACCTATATTATATTTCTATTTGCACCTTGGTGTGTGGCATGGTTAGCCAACCACACAGCTTTCATAAAATTTAAGAGCTGGGAGTTATCTCGGGCCTCAACTAGTTTAATTCACTTTCTTCAACAAGAGTCTCTCCTAGGGTGCCATTAAACATTCTCCCTACCTATTTCTTCTCTAAAGTACTTTTTCTCAGATTATTATGAATCAGTTGCTACCTGACCGTACTCTTTCTACATTAACTGTAAAAAGAAACATTTAAGAAAGAAATTCTATCACAGGTAAAAAAATTCCTTCCTGAAATCATAAATAGCAAAGAAGGATCACTGGATATGACCAAGCTCTCATTTCTATCTAATTCATCTCTCAACACGAAGTCTAAGAATTTTGCATTCAATTCACTGGAACACTTATTCACTTACCAAATAATTAGTTGAATCGTTCATTAACTATTCTTGAGCACATACTATATCCAGGTACTGCATTTAATCACTTAGAATAGAGATTTTTTAAAATATTAATTTCTTTCCTCAACAAGCTGCTAGTTTGGTGGCCTGAATGAGAAATAGGTTTTAACTATTGGTCCAGACTGCTGTGGAATGGACCAAGAAAAAGGCACATAAATCCAACTGGAGAGAAGCCCAGGGTCAGAGTAGCTCTCTTGAAATCATGGCTCCCAGGATACATCTGTAGGCCAAGTGAAGAACCAGAGGGGCATAACTGCAGAAGCAGAGACTGCAGGAGGTGGTGGAGGGACAGGGAAGACAGCGCAAGGCAGGAAGTGTTATCAGCAAGCTCCTGCTGGCCCAGGGGGTGCTGCTGTGCTGCACTGCTCAAACGCCACTTCCTTGACACATCTGGAATGGGCTGTCAAGCTTCAGGACTGACTCCTGCATTGGGGCATAGGGTTCTACAATCCGGAAGGTCCAAGGACAGGTTAAGGAAGCCCCGGGGCAAGGCCCTGAAGGTCCGTTTGTCCCCTGGAGGGAACCAGGATGGCAGGAGTCTCAGGAGGGCATGACTATAGAGCAAAGTGGCCAAAAGGTCAGTTAGTAAAATTTTCTGGAAGAAATGGAAGAAAGGGAAATCTATTGGAAATGGCCAAGAAATGCTCTAAACTCTGTTAGTGGCATAAGGAAAGCAGAAATGCAGTGCTGTGGCTTTACCTGAATGCTGGGGGGATTAGCGGGGCTGAGACTGGAGACCCAACCCCTAGGATGTCCTCCTGTGCTGCAGGTGTGGGGAGGTGGTGAGATGAGAGAGAAGCCAGCACCGGAAGGGGATCCCACAGAAGCAGACAGTAACTGCTGTGACTGCCCTGAGGATAAGGTGTGGGATTTATTTTCCCAAACACAAGGAAAGAACTGTTAAAAAAACAGTGTCCCCAGTGACCTGTGGGAGTTCACCCTGCAGGTCCAAGAGAAGCCACAGCGCCGTCTGCTTCAGCCAACCCTTGTTTCTAGGATCCCATTTTTACAGTTTCTACATTCTTTTCTGGGACACGGTGAAAGGGAATAGCTGGCTTTCCTTCAGATCAAACAGGTTTCTGTAGAAGCAGATTCAGTCTTGCAGTTAAAAAACAAAACAAAACAAAAGCCATCTGCTATGGGTGGCAAAGCCTTAGTAATGATACCAATCATCCCCAGAGGGAGCACAGGGTGAAAAAGAGAACTCCTGAATTAATTTTTAATGTGTTTTTTTTTTTCATCAAAACACAGTCAATTGGCCTTCCTGACAGGGTAGGATGCTTTAGGAAGAATTACTAGAGGTAGCAATTGCTTTGTAGGTTTTATAAGAATCAGACTTATTCAATCATTGGCCTCTGAAAATATTCTCATAGTGAAGTTGAAGTTAAAAGTTTCTCTTTCATCATTATGTATAAATACATGATACACTTCCAGAGCGCCAATATCTAAGCTATGTGAAAGGGTATGTACCGAGAAATCCCACTCCTGCCCATGTCCTGGCCCTGCCTTTCCATTCACTCCCCTACTTTCCCTTTGAGTTGCTTTATACAAAGACAAGTTAACAGGTGTCTATACTGTTTTACACCTTGGCTTTGGCTGCCTGGTAAAATATTCTAGAGATCATTTCAGGTTCATACATTCTTCTTCATAGATCTGCATAGTATTCTCCCTAGTGGATATATCATTATTTACTTAACTTGTCCTAATTGCTCAGCACTTGATTAGTTCTAAATTTGGGGTTTTGGGGTTTTTTTTAATACTACTAAGTATTCCCATACATACATCTTCTCCAGTCACGAGCAAGTAAATCTGGAGGATGAATTCCTACAAGAGGGATTGCTAGATGGATGGGCAAACGCATCTGTAACCTACAGGGGTGACAAACCTGTGTTACTGTGTTTTTCTTTTAAGACAAAATATGTTAATGTATGAGTTGTTTCTTCTGAACTAAAACCTCAATATTCAGGTTTAATTGCAGTGTTAGCATTTTGTGCTAAGTGGGTTTTGGCTGCAATGTGGGGACTCGTCTCTGAAAGGTTTGCCATCACTGCTCGGAATGGTATCCTTCTGCAGTCTCACCAATAATGTATGTAAGTTCAGCCTTACTAACCAAGCGTTATCAAACTGTGGATCTCTGCCAGTCTGACAGATGAGAAATGTGATCTCACGGCGGAATTATGTTATTCCAGTACAAATGAATCAAGCATCTATCATATTATTTAAAAAAGCATTGGTGGCTGGGAATGGTAGTGCACACCTGTAATCCCAGCATTCAAGAGGCTCAGGCAGGAGGATTGCCATGAGGTCAGTCAGCCTGGGCTACATAGTGAGACCCTGTCTAAAAAAAAAGTGTCCTTGGCTCATGTTTTATTTGTTTCTAGGAACTTTGATATAATAAGGACATCAGCCAAACTACAGACTGCAAATTTAATAAAATAGAGTTTACCATGTGATATAAGCAGGCAAGCACACTGCCATCATCATTCTCAAACATCTACAGAACTCATTTAGCTAAGATTAAATAACATGTGGAGTTCAAATGAATGAAACATCTAAAATTCACATTGTGTGATACAGGCATGCATAGTAATGTGTCAGCTAACCAAAAGTCAGACTTGGATTTAAATTTCTTCAATGCTCCAATTTGAAAGTAGATTAAAAATGGCTGCAGACAAGAGCAAGCTTAAAAAGCTCATTGCTAAAAATGTGCAGCACTTCATAGTTACTACACAGATCCTAGGCCAGTGATGATAAACCTTTTAGAGCTTTCAATGATAAAAAACCAGCTGCAGCATATGTGTGATAGGTTTGCCACCACTGTCCTAGGCTCTCATTTGAAACTTTAACAATTATGCAAGCAAACAAGCCAGGCACAGTAGTGCACATTTATAATTCCAGCATTCAAGAAGTTGAGAAAGGAGAACAAGAGTTCGAAATCAGTCCAAGCTACAACTGCAAGTTCTAGGCAAGCCTGGACTATATAGTCAGACCTATCTAAAAATATTAACAAAGCATTTATGCACTTGCCTATCTGGCTTCGCAGCTCAAAACAGATTATAGTTCAGAGAGCCACAGTGAATGAGGCAAAAATATCCTATTGCTTGCATCAGACTCCCAGACAGACCTGGAGAGAAGAGACCAAATAACCAAGAGCACACTCAAAACTAACGAAACATATAGCCTACTCAAGTTACTCACCTACCTGTAGGAACAAAGAATCTTAAAAGTAGCCTTCTAGCAGGAAGACTGCAAATTCAAGGCTGGCCTGGGCAACACAGCAAGACCCTTTCTGAAAATAAAAACAGGGAAGGGTAGAGTAATTCAGTGGTACAGTGTCCTCAGGTTCAATCCCCAGTCCTCCCACACCCAAAAAAGTAGCTAGCCCCAAAGGAAGGGATGGTGAACCTTTTAGGGATAAGTGCCCAAACTGCAACCCCAAACCCACTTATTTATTGCAAAGTGCCAATGCTGCAATTAAACTTGAATAGTGACGGTTTAATTTAGAAAAAAACAACTCATACATTAACATATTTTGTCTTAAAAGAAAAACAACATGCCTGCCATAGGTTTACCACCACTGCCCTAAAACAGTGATGCTGTTAAGACACTATGAAAACTGGTGCCTGGTAAAACTAATTCTGAGTCACAGGAACAATGAAGCTTTGAACTGCAAGGGACCAGATTTGTACTCACACCCTAAGCAGAACTTCAGAGAAGCTCTTGGCCTCTGCTAGAAAACTTTCGTGGATGAACCTCAACATCAAATACCCTAGAAGAGCTCTTTCTGCATGTCAAGCATTAGGCTTATGCTTTCTTTCAATCTCATTTATTTTTCACAACAACCCTATGAAGTAGGCCTTATTCACATATGGAAATTGAAGTTTGAAGATATCAAGTTCAGTGGACCTTTAAGTTACAATCGGCCTGACATACAAGCAACTTTGGTTAATTAGGTTAATGGAAGATCCATCTGCCTCTTTGTGTCTATAGCATGAACCCAGGTAAACATCCAGATCTCAGCTGTATTGAATTAATTACTCCCAGCCCTTGGAAACCGATCAAGTTTGTAAGTTAAGGGTCCACTGTAACTTGCCGGAGATCAGGAGAAAGACAGAAGCAGTCATTATCTCTGGGAGCTGGCTTAGCAGTTTCAGTGGGGCCCTGGTGTTGTCAGGAACCAGCTCTTGAGGATGTGCACAGCGTCACAGTACATGAACATCACGAAACGCCACACACTCTCTGATTATTAATCAAGACAAAAATGGCACCTCTCTAACCACAGACCAAACATGAGCATTGTCCAAACCACAAAAATGACCAAATACCACCTCCCTTCCAGTCTGTTAATGAACAGCCGCTGCTTCTTGATCAAGCACAGCTGTAGCTTCATGGTGACCTTTCTCTCCTGTTAAGACATGCAAAGGTTCAGGATGATGGAATTTCCTCCACTTCCAGACAATCTAATCCAGAGCAAAGTCCTATTTCCCTAAACACTCCCTCCCAAAGCACCTACTACAAGGTCTCCCTTGCTGCAAGAAGCTATGAACTAAACTTTGTCCCAAGTCTTGGTGGTCTTTGATTGGAGGGCTTTTCATGTCCCCTGGAGAATTAGTGATCACCAATATTCCACCCAGGCTCCACCTGACTACTGTTGTCCTTAACCAACTTGTTCTGCTGATCCCAGTTCAGCTTTTTCTTTTTTTTAGTTTGGCCTACAAAGGATTCGTTCTATGAAATTAAAAAAGAGTGTTTAAAAGAATAAACTTCAGTTACAGTGGAAACAAAATATAACATGTTTGCCATAAAATCCTTATTATTTCTCCACTATCTGGGGAAATGAGACATTGCTATACTTGTGTACTTGTCTCGCTGCTAATAACACCAGCACAATCTGAATTATTTTTCATTTTCTAAATAACAGTGAAACTGTATTAAATTAAAAGAGATCTGAAACTTTGTCTTCTGGTGTTTGCAGTTCAGTTTTGGAGCTCATTTTTAATGAGAAGACAAAGAAAGGTGCTCCATCATATATTTCTAAAACAAAGATCAGCGTGTGAAATAAAGAAACAAATGAGGGTCACAAGGCAGCTAAGAGCTTGAAGATGGAGCCTGAGGGAGGCAGCAAATGCTTTCGGAAAATGAAGCGAATGAGAGAGACCGAGGAGGGCTGAGCGTAGCTCATGGTAAAGCCCTTGCTCGCCGGGTGTGAGGTCCTGGGTTGGATCCCCAGCATTGGAGGGAGAGACAGACTCAATTTCTCCCTGCATTTTTCGGTTGTTAACAGCTTGTTGGTGGTGGGGGATTTGGAAGACGATTTTTGCTCTACATTTACTCAGGTGCCTCTCCAACATCAGTGGTTCCTGGGCATCCATCCCCTCAGCGTTCCCTTCAGCCTCTCAATGAGTAGTCGTTTGGTTGATTCAGTCTACAAAAAACGCCTAAGAGCTGCCCCACACCACCCCCCCCGGCCTTTGCCTCTCAGGTGCAGACCGGACGGGGTCCCGGTTAAGGCTAATAGAAGCCCTAGGAGAGATGACCAAGTCATCCCAGCCCCAGCCGGGGACACGGAGCAGCGCTGGTCTCCGCCCCAGGCCCACGGTCACCCGGGCGAAGGCGACGGGGAAGCAGGGAATCGCCCCCGCCGATCACCCCGCACACACGCATACTGGGCCCCCCGGACCCGGGAAAGCCTTCGCAGCACCAAGGGCAGAAACCGGAAGGGCGGGAAGGAACAAGAGGGGACCGGGGAGCGAGGAGTCGGGGAGAAAGAAGGTGCCGGCTACAACTGCTGCAACAGAAAGGAAGCGGCTGCGATCCGGAGGACACCGGAAGGGGTGGGGGGGGGACCTGGCGGTGGATGGAGGCTGGGGACGGGGAGCGCCGGGGCCCGTCGATTCGTCGCCTCAGGAGGGAGAGAGGAAGGGTGTTCCGGGGATCGAGCGCAAGGCGG